GAAAGTCGGAGATTAGTTGTAAGAATGAGTTGTTGGCATCCCAATTGGGCGACAAAACAACATCAGTGGGGCACCTTGTCCGAATTATGAGTTCACAATTTTCAGGGAACGACCAGTTCATCTCCTCCAAAACTTCTGGGTGTAAGACCTTCCTTCTATTCCTTACCACTAGAACTCTCTGACTCGGATCTAACAGCTTGAATAGCAGCCCACTTCTGACAGAAACCAGTAACTATAGCTTGATGTCTACCCTCCACCGATTAAAAGTGAATCATGCCGAAAGCATATTTCGAAACAAAACGAAACAGTGGGCAAGAAGCCTGACAGGAACAGAGCACTCACCCAAAATCTTTGTCTCCTTGAACCAATATCCATCCCTCACCTCATTACCAGCCGTCCAGCCCAATTCTCCTCACACCTGTCTCTGCTCTCCCAATTCACATATTTCTTTTGCATGAAACATGCAAGCACAAGTCGAAGTATCATCCAGAACTACCCTCCATCCCCATCCCCATCCCTGCGCTCATTCACTCCTCAACCCCTAGCTCTTCCATCCCCCCAGTGATGGTTCAAAACTCCCCCTTCCCTAATCCAACCTCAGCCCTATCTCCCCTCTCGTACATCCCGGAATCCTCATGCAGACGCCCACTGTGATCTAGCATTTCCACAGTCTGTGTTCGCAGACAGACAGACAGTTCCCTTTGTTAGCCGTCTTTTCGCGGGATTGGAACGTCAACTAGCCTCGCACTCAATGGAAATGATGCAGATGGGAATGGAGACTCATCACATAGCTAATGAAATTACCCCCCTCAGATCTCTTCGAGCTGGGGTGGATTCGCAATGCGAATGGACTGGAGAAACTCTGATCCAAGCACTGCGAGACAACATCCAAATTCCCATCCTCCTCAACTCAAGGTTGATGCTGGTGTTAAATCTGAGCTCCTTGATGATCGTCACAATTCATGAAGAATGTGAACGAAGAGGCACAGCGAGGGTTGAGGTTTTTTCTGGTGGTGGGACACTGGTTATTGTCAGGAGTAGTAAGAACTTACTAAGAAGGCCATCTCAATAGTCCCGCAGACATCTATGTCCCCAGGCATGGATATCATTCCCTCAAATTCAGCAGATCGCACCGGTCAAGTCTCTACTACCACTATCACCGCCAACACAGTTTCCTCCACAGACACACTCACACACTCTCTCTGGGATGATGCTACTGTAACACCAAGTGTAAAATGAATCCCTTTCACCTAACTCCGTCATGTCAACAATGACAACAACCCAGTTTTTGCAATGCCCTCTCAATGCCTAAAGGGATGTAGAGCGAGCATTCAGCAATTTTCTTGAGATGTGTGTTCCTTTATGGTCCTCCCTGTGTTCATTCTTTGGAACTTTATTCACAGAACCACCAATATGGGGTGTTCTTTCAATCACGCCGCAAACATGAAATGTGTACTTACGACGAAGGATCTCAAGCCTGTTCGTGAAGTACGTGAAGTTTATTCCCTTGAGCAGCGCGTTGCCAGGGCGACTGAGATTAAGTGGTTTGCACTGGGCTAATGAGCGACTTGTCCTGGCACAATAAAACTCTGTGTTGCCACTGAGGAGGCACCCACCCTGGTGGAGAATGGTGCCAAAGAAGCAAGAACAGTGAGGGAGGAGCTTCTTACTAGGCTTGATTTGGCAGAAATGTCTGTGATAACGATCACCGCATGGTGAGGCTGCAGTGACGAGGGAGTCTGGGCAAGATCATGACAGCTTGAGCTGAGAAGTTGGAAGCAAGGGTGCTCGAAATGATCAGGCATGCGGAAACGCTGTTGACGCAGTAGCATGATGTGAACTTGGTAACTTCTTTTTTCTTCTTCTTGTGAACCCATCCTGACTTGATTTCAACCTTGTAGACTGACTCAAAGAAAGTCCTGGTGAACCATGGTATCCTTCAAATTCAAACAAGTTAGGAACAGGACATCATTGCTAACCATAACAAGCTTTGATCCCCCAGCGTGAACATCTCGCCAATGGACTCCATACGAATCCATTCTTCGACGCAGCAATGGCGCAGATGCTTCAAAAGAAGGCCAAGAGTGCTGGGCTTGACACAAAGACTTTGTTGATTTTTGGGATGCAGCTTCCCTCAAGCCCAATCGACAAGTCATTGCAAACTTTTGTAACATTTCATGAATACCCTCCTCTGATTTTATCTTTTTTATTGTCTCTTTTCATCATAGGCCAGTAATGCAATGGACCAAACGATCGAACCTGTTCCTGATGCGGCGCAGCCCTTCTCACCAGATCCAGCCCAGCTCTTTACCAACTCCAAGTCCCAAACAACAGGAAGAAACAATCAAACCACCTTCACCCATCTCGAAACCTCAGCCCAGGGCAACTAAGCAAAACAAGAAGAAGTCCTTCAAGACCCTTGAGGACGCCGATTCGAACTATGTATGAGTACGACAACAGGGAAAATGATCTGAGCGACTTGTCCGATCTGGAGCTTTCATCACCAGCAGGGAGGTGCATGAGAAAACGCAGTCCTTGTGTATCACCGCAACTTACTGTGACCATCAAGGAGCCTGTGAGGACAAAACGAAGATGGGTATGCACGTTCCTCTGCTCCAATATTCCCCTGTTGTTTTTCAACCCCATTTTTCTGAAATGTAGAGGGCCATAAGAGTTCAGAATCTGGCTGTTGTTACGGCGCCTGTCATCCCATCCCTGCAGGGAGAAGTTTCAACTTCCCCAGTTGTTCAGAAGTCCCTAGCTGTCTAGAAGAAAGCCCCTGATGGGCCTGCCAAGACTCGTCAGAAGAAGCACAAGCAGCTGGTTCATTCTCGTTATCAATGCCCTGTTGGTCAGACTTTTTGCGTTGCCTGGGACTCTGTTTTCCTAATCCGACTGGTTTTTTCGTCTTTGGTGCTGTATGTCCTGGCATCTCTTGGTTTCACTCTTAGGCAATTGCAAATATCTCCTAATTATGGATGTTTGTTGCCATGACGATTGTACATAACTCTTACTGTGTTGCTCAAGTCATTTGCACATCTGATGAAGAATTTTTTGTGATGATGAATGTGTTGCACTGGCCACGGAAATGGCTGCTGGCAAACGGAAAAACGAATGGTGCTTTCCTGCTGCCCTGGCCTGGTTTGAGAGTCGGCGGTCGAATGGGCCAGACTTCTGTATGAACCAGTTACAGAGAGCAATGTATTTGTATAGATGGGAACCAAATGAGAAACATTTTTTTTGTGAAGTGATGGGTAGCTTGTCGTAACAGGCTGGGATGTAACTTAGCACGAAGTACTGGAGCCCGCTTCAAAGGCCAATACAGTTTCACTTCCCATTTCCTGAAAAATGGGACTGTAATTGCAAGCTACTATCGTATGAATTTGAATCTACAGACACCCAGAGTCTCTTCTTGTTGTAGAAAAGTAAAATTGAGAACAACCCCTTGAAATATCTTGAAACAGAAGCAAATTCACGATGGTAGCAACATCATACAAACGATCGACCCGGGTCAGGTTCGGTATTTTATTTATAGATGGGGACTTGTAATTGGTTCCCTTGCAATTGGGGACAACCACCGAGGATAAGAGATACTCAAGGCTTGTAATTATGGACGCGTCTCACACATGCATGCGTAAAAATTCCACAATCAGCGAAATCCGTCGTCTAGGAAAGTAAAAACCACCCCTACCCCTCTGGTCAAAGGGGCCGACGGGTCCCTAGAATCTTAACCCATGGGCCATCTAGGTTTGTTTTTGTAGCCCGTTGTGCGTTGACGTGTTGAAGTATGAGTAAAAACGAAGGGTCCTGCCGCAATGGCTATGAATAAAACATTGGTGTGTTTCCCACTGCGACGACGTCATTCCTATCAACTCGCAGTCATGATCAGTTGTTATTATTAGGTAGTACATAAGTAGTTGGGCCGTGGTGAGAGTGTTGCAGTATTGATAAAACTTTGTTTTGAAGGCAGAGCCTGCCGGCGAGCCGATTCACTTGATTTACAATGGGCACCTGAATAAAAAGGTTAGACCGTGAAGAGACAAAAGAACTTACCCACTGGGCTCTGTCCGACAACGGAGATAAAAATATACCTACATAGTTGCCGGACACCGTGTAGGATTGAAATTATTTTCAACACGAAAAAAAAAATCCGACACCAGTGCCAGTGGTATGCATGTCGTCATAATGATGTGCGTGTTGGTCATCCCGGGAGGATCTTTGAGCAGCACGCGCGGCGAGGGCCTGCAGATGTAGGATTCAGATATGAGTTTTGACTTGTGGTATTGTTGACTTGCATAGTTGTACTGTTTCGTGAAGTCTTTCAGAATACTAATTCAAGTCAGCGCATTCCGGGCCATAAAACCACGAGACTCTATAGCGTCCAAAACGCAACGGTCACCACCCCGTCAGACGCCAATATAATCATATCGTCGAACAACTGACAGTTGAACGGCTGTCACCTTGAACTTTCAAGTTCGGCCTCATGACCAAGTCCCGACGGGAGTCACAATGTACCTGAGCTTTGTGGTTTGAGTGGAATCGAACAGCCTGCTTGGAGAATGAGGACAGGTGAGCCAGCAATGACAGTTGAATATTGAATGACAAGCTTGAGTGTTGACTGTCACGCCGGTTGACGCGTCGACGTGCCTTGAGCTTGGGCGGGGTGCCTTGCGTTGCCTTGCTTCGTCCTTGGCTAGCCTTGTGTATGTTGATAAACGCCAGACGCCAGTGCAATGCTTTCTGCACGTGTGGGCAGACGCTGGTGTAGCGTGGTCAGGTTTTGTAGACGCGTGCGCTGCGTGGTTGGTGGATAGATAACAGGCCACCGCTATCTTTTTTTGTTTCTTTGGGCAGGCTACGCTTGAGATGAAATGAGGTTCAATTGAATTGAAAAAAAAAGAGTTATGAGGGTGTAAGGAGACGTCGACTTTGCTACATTTCCAAACTTGGCCAGATGAGCGCTCGGCCTTGGGTTCAGGTTATTTACTTGCCGATTTTCTTGAACTCTGTGCGAGCTGCTTGGCAAGATAAGTGTGGCGGGGCAAGTGCTTTGCACGTGTTGGCAGAGCGCTGCGTGGTTGGTGGATAGATAACACGGGCTTTTTTTTTTAATGGCTAGCTCGATGCTCGAGATGAAGTGAGGTTTAATTTTTTTTTAAAATGGGGGGTACCGACTCTTATCGACTTTGAATGCTCCGGATAAGGTTTGCAATTTCCCAAAAGCGCCAGGTTGTTTACTTGCCGATTTTCTTGAGGCTGCTTGGCCCGCACTGCGCAGATGACGCGGTTGCCTGCCCCTGTGAGTCACTGCTTAGATTAGATCATGGTGACGTATATAGAGAGCGATCAGGGGGTGGTGAAAGTCGGCGGAGAGCAGTCACAAGAGCCTAGAGGAGGAATGTAAAGGCCTAGGGAACCCGAGGAGGCCGACGGATGGATCATGAATGGTGGTGATAGCTATGCGTACACTTGACACGACACGACGTCGCATGTCAATGTCAGTACGCCAATGTAAATAAGGTTGGGGGAAACATGGGCCTTTGGAGAGAAGCAGGGTATAATTTAGAAAGCAGTGTAGGCTGAGGAACTTGAGAAGATGAACCGTTTTTGGGTGGGTTGGGTGACGAGGGGGATGGGATCTCCAGGCACTTCTTCAAAGGAGATAAGCGACAAATATCCGCGATTCTGAGCTCGATTGAAAACGTGCGTGACTTTGTTCCTGGTGAACCAGTTCTCGGTACCTGACCGCGTTCGCTTGCAGTGGGAAAAGTAAAAGATAAAGTTCAAAAATGGATCTTCTCTTTGAGTAAGTATGTATAGAGATGATTGATATGACTGCTGTACCTGGCTGGCGTCAATAATCCAAACCCCTCAATCCCCCCATCATCATTATCATACTTATCTCTTACTTGAGATGCCCGTGCGCACCGCTGACGACCCACTCGACGAGGTGCTCAAGCCGCCTCCGGACGAGTCTCCAGAAGACCGTGCGGTAAGGCTGCAGAATGAGGCAGAGGCAAAGAGAGTTAGCTTGGCTATTGATGCTAGCATCAAGGCTGAACGACATGCGAGGAGGAAAAAGAGGATTGTGAGGCTGTTGTTGCTGGGTCAGAGCGAGTCTGGTGAGCTTTGTGGTCGTTTTGACCTACACTGTATTTATGAGAGTGTGTGTTTAGGGAAATCAACAACTCTACGACGTACGTCCACCTCTGTTGTTTTTTTGGTAGATATGAAAAGCTTATCGCCACCCTGCAGAATTTCAAAGACTATATACCCCCACGGCCTTTCGCGAGGAACGTATCCTCTGGCGCGCCGTTATCCAACTCAACATCATCAGGTCAATACGCACCATCCTCGACGCTTTGACCTTTCCTTCAACTTCAACGTCGTCACCACACACATCACCGTACTCGTCCCCTCGTTCAAGGGCCCGCACCATCTCCCGCCCGCCTTTACCAAACCACCCACACGAGCAGTACAATGGCAACGGGAACGACACAACACTAACCTTTGGCTCTTCCTCACCCCCGCGTGTCAGACACCACCACCACCACCACTCGCCCCCGTCCAACCCAGATTCAGACGGAGACTCCGAGTCTGATTTCGTTCATCCCCACCACCACATACACCACCGCAGCCCACGCTCCACCTCCCCACTCACACTAGCCCAAAACACACCCCTAGACGCACTCAAAGCGCGCTTATTACCCCTGCGCCATATCGAGGCTCTCCTCATCGCAAAACTTGTCCCGCCCAACGAGGAAGAGGCGACGCATTTCGCTCGTCCTGGTCCCCCTGGTGTTGGTGTTGGTGCTGGAACGAGTGCAGGGTCCTCCTCCGGGGCGAGTTCTACGTCGCATGGGACGGGGAACCACGCGTATAGGAACCAAGAGATTTTCGTTAGGCCTGGGACGGGGTGGAAAGGCGGTTTGGCACGTGCTAGGGTTACTTATCCTGGGTCTGGGTATGGGTATGGCGATCATCATGACGGCGCGAAGCAAAATAAAAACGGGAGTAATGGGAAAGGGAGTGGTGGTGGGAATGGGACAAGACCGATGAGCGCAGGTACCACGGGCCTAGAAACGCAGGACGAGCCGCAGGAGGTGTTGAATATGTGTAGGAGGGATATGATTGCGCTTTGGAATGATGAGGGTGTTAGGGAGGTGTTGAGGCGGAGGAAGATTAGGATTGAGGAGGAGTCGGGGTTGTGAGTCCTTTTTCTTTTCCTTTTTGGAAATGTATTTCTAATGCCGTCGTTGTAGTTTTTTGGACGACCTGGAACGATTGACGTCGCTCAAGTATATGCCTACGGATGGTACGTCCCCTCCTCCCTTCTTCCCCCTCCCTCTTCCCTCCTTAAACACAGCTAACACCCCATGTGAACAAACAGACGACGTCCTCAAAGCCCGACTCAAAACCGTGGGCGTATCAGAGTACAAATTCGAGATGGAAGCGACTGCGGGGAGGGATAGCGGTACGGAGTGGAGGATTGTGGATGTTGGTGGGAGTCGGAGTCAGGTTGGTTTTTTTTCTTTGTTCTTTGTTCCTCTGTTCTTCTCTTCCTTTGTTGCCCTCTCTTCTTCCCTCTTTCTTATCCTCATGCCTTCTAATAATCTAATCGATATTTATTCCACAGCGTCGTAAGTCCCATACTCAATGCATCCCTTAAAATCTAATTTGAAAGCTAGCTACGTGGGCGCCCTTCTTCGACGATGGTACGTCCCTTTCTTGCTTTTTTGGTCTCCTTCGTGCACAAGTTGATATGTATGTATTGGACGCAGTGGACGCTATTATCTTCTTAGCACCCATATCGGGGTTCGATCAAGTGCTTTCTGAGGATCGGACGGTGAATAGGCTGGTGAGTTTCTTTCTTTCTTGTTCTTTGTCGTGTTTCTGCTGGCGTCGTTCGTTTGTTCGCTTTGGTGGATTTGTTTTGAGTGGTTCGATGATATGACGGAGGCGGTCTGCTCCTCCTCCCTTGCCTTCCCTTCTTTCCCTCCCTTGCTTCCCCTTTCATCTCTGTTGCTTTTGCAGTCGATGTCGTTTTTGCTCCATCCCTTGTTTGCACCTACCTTTTGAGGGGCAGCTTTGGGTATCAATCCAATGATGCTTCCCCTTGCCTTTCCTTTTCACTTGCGTCCGCTTCGGCCTTTGTGGTTTTAGCGGTTTTCCTTTCGATTGGTCTGATACCGTTCTACCCCTGCCTTGCCTCCGCGTCGCTGGTCTTCTGGCCGCAACAAGCGCTCTGCACTCTGCTTTTTTCAATTTGGGTGGTTGTGCTCCCTTGCCATCTCTGTATTCTCGGCTGTTTGTTTTAATTTATACGTCAACGGGAAGGTTTCGGCCCCCTTCAAATCAAATCCTCGAAGTAAGAGTGAATGACCTCGATAATAAACGCGCATTTTGAGCTGGTTGTTGGACAATGTCAGGACTCAATGCCTCAAAGTTAGAACAGTAATCTGTAGGATACTTATAGATGTCGTGACCTTGCCAATTGCAAAATTTGTCCTCTTCCGACAACCACCACAATCAAAATACAATTTTCTTGACTCTTCTAACCATTTCTTGGCTATTCCATGGAAAACAATGGCTTTGATTATAATGCGCTCAAAGGTATCAATCCAAAATTCTCAATGTCACAGACTTCGGACCCGTCAACGACAAAAGTCAAGCCGAAGACGTTCTCAATGACGCAGGGTAAGCCACTTGCACAGAACCCGAAAATCAGCTCGACACACAACGCAAATTCCTTCAAGTTTGCCCTATTCAAGAGACCTGAAGCCTTGACCATTCCCGACGCGTCGCGACGATCCGTGTTTTCTTTTCAAGCGCCACAGGCTGAAGGTTCATCTCAGAGTCGCCTATCGGCACCACTATTTCTTTCAGATGTCCAAGAAGCATTGAAGGCTCCGGTCAATATCCTGCAGGATCGCGACGTCGGACAGGGGGAGGCACAAGGTGAGCATTGCCACTCTTTCTTTCGTGAATATCGGCCTAATGACGACTACAGAGGGAAGAAGAGACGCGTCATCGCCGTTGACGGCCTCACCCAAATATGAAGGCCGCGCATACATCCATCCAGCATCGCATAAATCGCCGCCAAATCATCCTTCACCTACCGCCTCACACAGAGAAATAGAATTTTCGCCAGAATATAGCCGGGAAAACGACAGGACCGCATCTTTGACCTCGATTCCAGGCGAGTCAAGTAAGTTATCACAATCTACGCAATTTTGTTTGACCCATCATAATAGATCACAAAACTAGTCGTCGACAATCACCCGCCTTATCTGGAGCGCATACATCTTCTTTGCCTCCGCCTTCACGCCCCAGCTCGCGGTCTCAATTAGTTTTTCCGCTATCAAAAAATGAATTAGGTTTCAATTCGATTCCAGATACGTCTCTCAAACCACAACAAACTCCTCCCATTGCGAAAAGGGATGTAAAGCGAGCGTTTAGCGATCTCCTTGAGCATGTTCGTTCCTTCATGGTTCTTCTTGCTTCCGTTCTTTTGAACTTTCTTCTTCTTCACAGAACCACCGATACGAGGCTTTTTTTGCGGAATCGATCGCACTGCAAACACAAAATGAGTATTTATCTCGAATGCGCAGTGCGGCGACGAAGGATCTCAAGTCTGCGCGTGAAGAGCTTTCCGCTACAGCAGCGCAATTGGCATCTGCTAGGTCGGAGCACGCCGCCGCTCTCCCATTGTTGAAATCAACGGAGAATGAATTAAGCACCGCCAAGTCTGATCTCGCCTTAACACGCTCGAATCTTGCGGATGCCGTCGCCGAAATTTCGACCCTCAAAACCTCTTTGGAGCAAATGTCGCATGCTTATGAGCAGGAAAAGTTGGGGAAGGAAGTGGCTGAAAAGAGGCTCGTCACGGCAAAGCAAAGTCTGGCGACTCTGAGAAAAGTAAGTTATCAGTCAATCCCTATTGCTTCTTACTTATGCTAGCTTCAATAGCTACGAGTCACTTCATTCCTCCTTCGTCGCTCTTGGAAAGTCTCACGAGGCTTCGGAAGCTTCGCTTTCACAAGCTGTCGCTGAGGTGACTGAAATTAAGCGGTCTGTGGCGGATGCCTTGACCAGTAAGGTTGCTTCAACGGGGTTTTCGCAATGTTGACGACGTCTCCGCTACTACTAGGTGTTAGACCCCTCCTTGAAGTAGGCGGTGGCTTCTCCCGCGTATCTGAGATGAGAGATACCATTCAAGAACTCCAGAGAGAGTTGGGCTCATGTAAGCTCGTTCCTGCTCTTGTGCTTCACCCAATCGTTCGTTGACCCTCTACAGCCCAGCGCGTGACTGATCTCCTCCGCGACAAGCTTCACCACCTATCTTCCCAGCTCGCGGATGCGCAAGCACGGATCAAAGATTTCGAAGATACGGAGCGCGGGACGCTGAGTGTTCTTTGCGATCGCTTGGACGATAAGCGGAGCTTGGAAGTTTTGTGCAGTGTCGGTGAGCATTTCTGTTAGCTGCCTTTGCTCCTGTATGGACAATTAAGCTTTTCTTTTCATAAGGAACCAAGGTAGAAGACCTGACGGACCGTATGGCAAAGCACGAACGGGAAAGTATCGTCTCAAGAAGTCATCAACGCCAAGGACAAGGAGATTATCGGTTTAAAGGCAGAGGTCAAGGCTCTCGGCGAGTCGAAGGCTGAGTTGAGAGCACTGTTAGTTCCCTTTTTCCCCGGTGTTTGGTGGGCTTACACACAGTATCAGGGTTGCGGAGGCTAAGAAAGCGGTCGCGGAGAAAGACCGCGATCTCAGAGCTAGGGATTCGTAAGCGACGGCGACGTACACCCTCGTATGCCTTCAACGATAATCTGTCCAGACATACCTTGGTTAAGCAAAAAGTCGAGGGCCTGAACTCGCAGGTCGTTTCTGCAGAGGCATCGTTGAAAGTGTACGTCACCCATTTAGTCTCTTTTTGCCTTTTGTAACGCCGTTCTGTAGAACAAGGGAATGGCTCGCACTAGCTCAATCCGAGGCTCGTGAGCGTAAAGAGGAAAGCGACATTCTGAAGACAAAGGTTGAGAGCCTTGAAGTCGCTCGTGCCGAATGGTACGTCCACTTCGGTCGTGTTTCATCCTCACCATTGATGAATACCGTTACTCTAGGGAGGGTCTGAATTCCAAGTTACAAGCACAGATTCAAGAGCTTAGTACAGGAGAGGCACTGGCTGTACGGACGACCCAACTAGTTCAAGCTGAGATCAAGCGGGTCACAGCGGAAGTCAAGAAGGCCAGCGAGGAAGCGAGTAAAACTATCGAATCGTATGTCGCTTGTTTTCTGAAGTTAGTAATGGTTAGAACTGATGCTTATCTTCAGGCTTCGTCAAGCGAATCGTCGGTTGGAGGTCGACAATAGCTTGTACTTGTGTGTATTAGTCGTCACTGACATTGGTTTTCTCAGAACCGATTGGATGAACAAAATACGGCTCTGGTCTCAGCGAATGACCTCAACAACGCACTCCAGGTGATGAAATCATTGCACTCATCAGCAAGACGACATCTCACTAGAAATGCTAGAATTAGTAAATTCTAGCATTTCTAGTAACTCTAGTCATTTCTAGTCTCCTAGTTTTTCAAACTAGGGCTAACGAACTTATCCGATTCTAGACACTCCACTAGGAAGGTTGGACAGCTAGTACTAGTATTTCATACTAATTCTAGTAGATCATTCAATATTCTAGTGCCACTAGGACACTCTTGCCCAGCGAGATTTTTATAATGATTGTATAATTTATCTAATGAACAAGTGACAAACATTCCTAGTTACTTATGGAAGGTGAGACGAAGAATCCTCATCCCTCCCAGCTGCCCACTAATACAAGACGTACTGTGCAGGCCGCCGCGCTTCATCCTGAGTGGCAGCATAGAACGACCTTCATAATAAATAGTAAGTAAATAAGTTTAGGAAAAAGTCAACAAAGATACATTACTTACGAGGACGTGAGGGAGATAAGAAGTAAACTCGAGGAAAGGAACGGAGACGCGCGGAAGGGAAAGAAAACCTTGAGGAAGAAACGGGTGAAAGGAAAGAAAACTCAAGGGAAAAGGACGCACCTCTCACAGCCTGTTCCTAGGAGTCTCTCCGCGACGTCATCTTCGCCCCCGTGGTCCCAACCCACTTTCCCCCTCAGCCACTGACAGCTAACACACGTGTAATCCACGCCGGAATTGCGCACGCATCCCGAGGATTGCATGTAAGAATCGAGGTGCGTGAAATTCTTTCAGGAGGGCAAGAAGATCAGAACAAGAGCCTGCGTCTAGGCCAGCTGGATAACAAGAGAGGGCTGGTATTTGTTGGAAAGAAGGAAGGGAGGTAACAGAGAGTCTGAAGGAGGGGATAAGGATGCAAAAGGAAGGTGAAGGAGAGGAAGCAATGTAAGGAGGTAGGAAAGAGGTAGGGGTCGGGAGCGTGGAGTGGAAGGCGAGGATACGCAACAGCGAACCCGCGGAATTGGGCACACTGATGACGATGCGCAAGAAATCGGGTGAACCTGATATGTACGCACATTTGTCCACTCTCGTGCGCTTGAACGGTGTGCCTCCCAGCACGCCCCATGACAGCGTATGACCAGTCGCCATACGCCTCATCATCCCGGAATGTCGCCCAATAGCCAATCATTGGAAACGCCCGTTGATGCGGCTCCGATTCGCCCTTCAGCGGCTCCACTGCTTATCGTCGACTCTTCTTTTGATGAGTGCGCGGCCTACGGTGTTGAACAAAGAAGGAAAGAAGCTCGGAGGGGATTGGGACTGATTGGGGTCGCGGATGGTGAGAGGGAAGGGAATGCATGCCTTGGAAATTCCCCTTCGCGGATTTCAACCATAATCACGTGATTGTACAATGGCATCATTTTTCTTGAGGGCCGGGCTCTTCGACTTCAACATTTCTCCGTCGCTCATCACTCAGCCCACTCACACGAACACGGATTTTCTTTTTGGACAAGGAGATTACAGAATGGACGCATAGGCAGTGATACTCACTACGGGTACCTTGATTTGCATACTCCTGCCATGGTACTCTTGGAGTCGAAGTACCTGCTTGCCGCCACTTTTCAGTTCACCTCCGTGAATGGATCGTCGTGGCATCAAACTTCCATTTTTTTACTTAGTGTACTTATACAATCACTAGAGCAGTACAAGCCATAAAAATTTGTAAAGGGAAAGTCAAGTAAATTGAGGTTGATCCAGTTGAAATGGAACCATGGCACAGTTACCACTTCTGCATAATTGACGGTGCCAGTGACCCCTTCTGTTATTTGAAGTTGCAGATTCTGCATCAGAAGTCTCATGGGTAATAAATAGAGGTTGGATACACTTTTGCATAATGACTGGAAAGTGACTAGAAAACTGACTAGAAAAAGTGACAGTTACTAGAAATGCTAGGTGTCCTAGGACGTACTAGGAAAAAAAAAGTTTCTAGTACTAGTGTTTCTAGGACACCTAGTACTTTCTAGTGTTTTCTAGTGTTTCTAGCTTCTCTAGCCAGATGTCATCTTCCTGATGCTAGCGACATGCGTACTTTACTGACGTTACTATGAACAACGCAGACTAGATTGGATGAGCAGACCGCTGCTTTAACGCTAGCCAAGGACCAGATCACTGCGAATGAGGTGAAGTCTGCCGTATCTCATGATACTTCAGTGATTGTTGATATACTTCGACCTCAGGCCGGCGTTCAAGAGATCGTTCACAACCTCAGGACGGAACTCGCCGTTGCCCATGAGCAGAAACTCGCGCTTGAGCGTGAGACCGCGAACCTCAAAGCCTCCTTCAATCAACTTACTCGGGAATCCGCCGCCTCGCTGGCAGCTGCTCAAGTGGACTTTGAGAAGAAGTTGAACAGGCAGGAGAAGGCTAACGAGCGACTTGTTTCGGCGCAAGAAAAACGCGCCGTTGCCGCTGAGAAGGCGGCCACGCTGGCGGAGAATGACGCTAAAGAAGCAAGAGCGGCGAGGGAGGAACTTGCTGGTAGGCTGGCTTTGGCGGAGATGTCTGTGATTGCGATTGCTGAGGATGGCGAGGCTGCGGCGACGAGGGAGTCTGGGCAGATGAAGGTCATGAAAGCCCGAGCTGAGGAGTTGGAGGCAAGGGTGGGCGAAATGACGAAGCATGCGGAAACGCTTTTGAGTCGGTACCATGATGGGAACTTGGTAAGGTCATCTCCTTGTGGACTCATCCAGACCTGATTTCGACTTTCGTAGACCGACTCAGAAAAGGACCTGGGAACCATGTTATTCTTCAAACGCAAACGAGTTACGAACAGGACGTCGTTGCTAAGGATAATGAGCTTCGAAAAGTTAATGTCATCATATGTGTGTTGAAACCTACTGACCTCGATCTCCCAGCGTGAACACCTCGCAACTGGCCTCCATAGTCGAATCCATTCTTTGGAGGCAGCACTAGCACAGATGCTAAAAGAGAAGGCGAACAAAACGAAGATTGGTATACACGTTTCTATGCTCCGATATTCCTCCGCTGTTTTTCACCCCTTTTTTGAAATGTAGACGGCCACAGGAGTTCAGAATCCGGCTGTCGTTACGGCGCTTATCATGCCGTCCCCGCAGGAAGAAGTTTCGGTTTCGACTTCCCCAGCTGTTCAGAGGAAGGCCTCCGATGGGCCTGTCAAGACTCGCCAGAAGAAGCGCAAGTAGCTGGTTGGTTCTCGTTATCAATGCCCTGTTGGTCGGTCTTTTTGCGGTACTTGGGACTCTGTTTTCCTAATCCGACTCGCTTTTTCGTCTTTGGCCTGGGATTTCTCTTGGATTCGCCCTTTGGCAATTGCAACTGTCAACTCTTTGGCTAATCATGGACGCTTTGTCGCCGTGACGATTGTCCATAACTCTTACTGTGTTGCTCAAGTCATTTGTACATATGGTGGGACTGGGAAACTGCTTTTAGTGAACGGAAAAACGAATGGTGCTTTCCTGCCGCTCTGGCCTGGTTTGAGAGTCGGCGGCCGAATTTTGGGTCGGACTCATGCACGAACCAGCTAAAGAGAGCAATGTATTTGAATAGATGTGAACCAAATGAGAAAACAAAAAAATTGTGAAGCGATGGGTGCCAGTGGCTTGCCGTACTAACAAGCTGGGATACTCGGCGCGAAGTACTGGAACCCGCTTCAAAGGCCAATACAGTTTCACTTCCCGTTTCTCAATACATGGGACTGTAGTAGTTGCAAGCTAACTTACAAACCCGAGGAACCTCGAGACACCCAGAGTCTCTCCTCGTTGTAAAAGTAAAAATTGAGGTTGCATAACGGAAGCAAATCCACTGCGATGGTAGCAACGTCGTATAAACGATCGACTCGGGTCAGGTTCACATGGAGACAAGTTGTAATATTGGCTCCTTGCAACCTCTGCAACTGTGGGCGACTCCCAATCAGTTTAAATAACGGATTACGAAAAACCATGGGTCAATCCAATGCATTAAAGGCTCTAGGGACCCGTCGGCCCCTTCGACCAAAAAAGAAAAAGGAAAAAAAAAACGGGGTCGTGGTCGGGGTGGTTAACTTTACTTCCCTACATGACGAATAAATTTGGCTGATTGTGAAATTTATGCACATGCACTGGTGAGTACGCGTACATAATTACGACAAGTGAGTTATCTCTGCGAGAAATTGTTCGTTGACGTGTTTAAGTATGAGTAAACCGACTAGGGTCCTGCCGCGAGAGCAGTGGGGTGCTTTGAATAGAACATTGGTGTGTTTCCCACTGCGACGTCATTCCTATCAACTCGAATAGTGTGATTGAACCAAGGTTGAACAGCCTCAGGTTGTGGACACCCCAGTTTTTGGAACTTGCCAGTCAGTGGCCTGGGGTGAGTGGGATATCCTTACTTGTTGGGGTTGGCGGTGGCCCTTGTGTACTTTCTCTATCTGTTCCAATGGTGGTGATGAACGACGAGCCGGTTCAAAATTCAAAATTCATGATGAACTGCGAGTTGGGGATGCTGATTTTCCTACAACTCTCAACTCGATGACGTTTGATGAATTGTTCGATGACAGCCTGCCTCTGGAGGGTCCCAACTCGACGAGAATGTAGAAAGCGACCAGGCCATGGATCTAGCCTCGCAACAGCTTGACCGACATCCTGCCCACATAACCTTTGGGTGAAAGCCCTGTATGTCGGAGTGAAGGAAGTGTTGTCTTGGTAGGGAACGGCGAAGTGAAAGCCCCATTGAGGGGTGTAAGGACCTGGTCTTCAGCCATTCCCCTGATCACAGTCCGCCTCTGAATAGCTCTGCCGTGATGGCCGTGCGGAATGGGAGGCCATGAGTCTACACCCACGACTCAACCTGCTCGTAACCTCTGAGTAGAAGAGTCGCTTCAGGAAATGCATCCCCAGGCATGGAGGGTAAAAACCGGCCATATCTAGATCTTGCTTGGACACCAACAGGTTCACGGGCGTGATAGACGCATACACGAACCATAATCCTGATAGTTGAGTGGAAAGGACATAGCCCGC